CTTGAAAATATTGAAACATGTCAGTCCCAGTATTTGGACTGTAAACATGGTCGCACACATGTGACGCTGATGACGCTTTTGTTGCATACTGGTGACGTCAAACTCCGTCTCCTCTGGTCTACATGCAAACATAACGATGGAGTTTTTCCAAATCTCCACTTTGGTGAGATTGATCGTTTTTGGTGACTTGTAGCTTCGTTTAGGTGTAAACCAAAGACCCACTGAAATATCACTGTTTTGCTACGTGGGGCTTCAGTCTTCACATCTCACTTTGTCTCCCTTCAACTCCTAAGAAGTGGATACACCATAAAACACACTATTAATGAGGAAAACCACAGGAACTGTAAGAACAGTGACTTTTTTTTTTTAGAGGCTATTCACACAGGTTTGCAGTGACAAACCTTGCGTTGCCATGGTGAGCGAGTTGTTCGCCAGTGAAGGACCAGGAACGGGTCAAAGTGAAGGCCTTTCGTATGTGAGTCCTGCAGTGCTCCTCTCCCAGGATATTTTTATTTGTAGGGACTTGCATAAACATGCTTTTGAATCTCTACAGCACCCTTTTGACTGTTACTCAGTAATGTTCCATTATTCCTCCCTCTGTGAGCGTGGCATAATTGTCCTCCAAGGTGAGAAAACAGAAAAAAAATACAAATAAGTCACATAATATATGTGTTTATCCGACTCCCTCCCGTCAGGCTTTCATATTGTTCCCTGTGCTGGTTTCTTTGTGACTTATAGACCTGTAAATGCCAACACGTGGCTCGCTGTGATGTCCTTGGAACATATGCTTTTCTTCATGCCCACAATAGTTAGATGAGATTTCAATCAAGAAATTGCTTATTTTCATTAGCAACCCTTTTTTTTTTTTAAGAAGGAGTAGCTTCACGAACTGAAAATCCGTCTCTTCAGCTGCAGTCACGTCACATAAGCTCCACGGTGCTGGTGAGTGTGTCATACTTCACAGAGCTTTGTGGTACTGCTCTGAAACCAAGCAGACAGCGGCCTGTTTGGTCTGTTCAGCAAAGAGAGGTGGGATTCTGGCAGTCTCCAGTTGCTTCAGACGCTCACTGTGCCAGAGGAATTTCCAGAGGACCAGCACCGCCATCAAACTCAGTCACACGTTCTCCTCTTTATTGCACCGTCGCTCACATTTCCTTCATTCGTTTGACGCTGCTTGTTCTTCGTCTCTTGTCCGACACTCTTTTTTTGTGCTACGTTCTCTCCTTCTTTGCTTCCTTTCACCCCTCCGTGTTACTTGGCTGTTATCCTCCGTGGATCACTCTCGGCCGGTGCATTCCCATCAGTCTCGTCACATAAACTGGGAAATGCTCGGTCGTTCCTGGCGGGCTGTCAAATCTTTACCCAAAAAAAAAAACAAGATGATTGTTGCAGATGAGAAGAGGGACACGTCACAGCTTTTTATTTTTTTCTTTCTTTTGTGATGAATCACTGCAATTAGTCATCGCTGTAGCAAATGCCACGCAGGTATCTGTGCTTCTGGCTTCACGTGTAAATTTGAGCAAGAGCAGAGGTGATCAGGAGTCGATGTTGATTCAGCACGACTACGGCATAAAAAAAGGGAAAAGCTTTATTATTGTGCTTGAATTAACTCAACATACGGGCTGCGAGGTGGATCAGTGGTTAGCACCGTCGCCTCACAGCTAGAAGATCCCCGTTTAGGGATCTTTCTGCGAGGAGTTTGCATGTTCTCCCCGTGCAGCGTTGGTTCTCTCCGGGGTCTCCAGCTTCCTCCCACAGTCCAGAAACATGTTGAGGTTAATTGGTGATTCTAAATTATCCGTAGGTGTGAATGTGAGTGTGTTTGTGTAGCCCTGTGATGGACTGGCGACCTGTCCTGAGCGTCCCTTCGCCCTGAGTCGGCTGCAGGCTCCAGCCCCCCCGCGACCCCGGTGAGGATTAAGCGGTGTATAGATAATGGAGATAATGGATGGATGCATAGTCAGCATGCTGTACATCTCTACTGCAGTTCATATAAAAGATGGAAATTGAACATGATGCAATTATTCCTTTCTGTTTATTAACTTTTGCGCTGCAGGTTGCAGGAAAATTAAACTATGATTTGTAGACTTTCGGAAGCCTGGAGCTCATGCGTCGGGGTTATCGTGGTGGGCGGGGGGTGGAATAGGAGATTTGTGCAATGATCCCTCAGTCTTTCTATCTCTGACAACCCCTGCTTGCAGATGCTTGTTTGTGTTTAATAAAGCAGATTAATTAAGCTCATTGGTATTCTAGGACGCCGCTTCCAGCTGTTTCCCAAGGCTAGAATCGGCAAGGTCACCCGTTTGAACCGCGAACACGGGGAGCTAACAACCGGGAGGGCGAGCACCCATCACGGCGAGGGGATGGATAGACTTCAGCGACAGAATCTCCCCGATCAAGACAGCGAATCCATCAATCAGCGCTTTTTGAGATTAACAGCTCTGCCTCGTGTGTTCGTACCTGAAACGACTCAGTTTAGCCGTAATTAATCGCCGCTCTCCATCGCTCTTTATGCCTGCGACGCGGCGCCGCCACGGCAGACGAATGCGCGCCGCGTAATAGATCATTTGTCATTCTATTTGAGTAAAAGTCAAAAAGGTAAATAGCATTGTAAACATATGATAAATAGGCCGTCTCGTCAGCGTGATGGATATTCCCCGTTTTTGCCTTGATGGAATGTTTAATACATAATGCCATCTGACAGGCCCCAGTTAGCATCAGCTTTAATTATCAGTAAAACATGATAAAATAGCTCTGGGCCTCGTGCCAGAAAAATGGAGATCTGCTTATGAGTTAGACATTGTAACTCAGAAATAATGAGTCTTGCAAGTATTTGTAGTTTGCGCTGTAAGTAATGACAACATCTTGTCAAAGTGCAAAGTCAATACACGCTATGGAGGCGGAGGGGCGGCCGATGAAGGATGTAGTGCAACCGCGGGTCACCGAGTTAACTGTACCTTTTAGTATTGCATCGATAAGCAGACTTTGAGTCGGATCGAGCTGAGGCAGCGTTTTGCAGAAGTGGCGTCTGTGTGAATTACAGCCCGAGTGGTGAATTAAGAGTTTCAATCTATTATTCCCACACAAGAAAAAAAAACTCAATCAGGAAGCACAAAAATTGCAAAAGGTCTTTCTACGTGCATGAATAATTTCGACCATTATTCAAAAAGCTCGTGCACCTGTTCTGATTGTAAGTGCTGAAAAGCTGGCGAGAAAGAAAAAAAACAACAAAAAAACACTGCTTGTCAGGAATAGAGGCTCTTTGGTTCACTCGCAGTTAAGCACATAATGTCACGGAGACAGTCCAAGGTCTAAACTTTACTAGAAGACATCGTAACACCGAGCTTGGCATTTATTTTATGACAGGAGGAAAAAAAAACACTGCCTCAAGCGTAAGAGAAGCGCTCAGTGGTGCGAACGGTGAATGAGGAAACAGTCAATGAGCTGTGATGATTATGAATGATTTGAATGCAGAACTTTATGGAGATGTTCTAACTCCGGTATGGGCGGAAACTTTAATCGTACGGTTTAGAAACAGAATATAGAGTGATGTGTTAAACCGTCTTACTGCCGAATCCCTGAATGTGGGAACATAATCAACACTTTTTTTATTGAGGCTTCATTCATAGCGTTGGACTAATAAAGGTCAATCTGCTGCAGAACACAGATAGAACGCCAGATGCAGCATCATGTCAGCTCTTCAACAAATGTGTCAGAAATGATTTTATTTCTGCAGCCGCTGAGCTCCAGTTTCCCACTGTTCAAACAACTTATGATTCATCCAAGCTTTGTTTTTTCACTGACCGCCGAGTCCCGTCTCATACTTTTTTCATTCTTTAGCTGCCTTTGTTTCGAGACTCACGCTGATGCAATATGAATGTTGTGTCCTCAGCTGAGTGGATCTGTGTGTGTGTGTGTGTGTGTGTGTGTGCGACGCAGGTAGCTGGTTTGCGAGTCTTTCGGTACCCACAAACATCAGGCACTTTACACTCCTCTGGTGGCAGGCAGGAGGGGAGCCTGTTGTCACATTTCTTCATCATTACCTTCCCTGCCCTCCCTCATCTCTCTCCCTTGGAAGTTAAAAAAGTAATCAAAGGCTTGGCATCCGACAGCTCCGTCTCTTTGCCTCTTCCACTCTAAAAATGTCTTTTTTTTTTCTCCCTCTCCCGAATCCTTTGCAAACACCGGCACCTTCTCTACAAAAGCCCCTCATTGCAGGGGTGCCGAAAACCTCTCCAGCTTGTCTCAGAGGAGGCTGGGCCTCTTTTGACATCTCTGCTTAATGGAGGATGCTTTGCCACTCATTTAACAGCTCTGCGACTTTTGTTTCTCCTCCGGGAGCCCGGCAGCCTTTTATCTCCTCGTTGCCGGGCCGAGGAACTTGCTCACCTCCTCTCTCGCCCCGTCCCGCCCGTCACAACGTGAACGGACCTCTTAGCCGACCGCGGAGACGAACGGAGGGAGGCGCTCTGGCCGGAGCAGCGGGCTAAATCCCAGATCAGGGGGAGAGTTCAGGCTCCCTGGAGAGAAGATCTTGGCCGGCGGCGTGGATGGTTAGAGTATGTTGAACATTAGGGCTTTGGCAAATCAAATGGTGGATTAGGAGTAAACGGCAAAGAGGAAATTCCACAGGGTCTTAATAGCAGCCTTCAGGGAAAATAATCCTGTGTTTCCTTGGCCTGCTTTTCCATGATATGCATGTGTGTGTGTGTGTGTGTGTGTGTGTGTGTGTGTCATGCACATGCTGCCTAATGCTTTCTTGAATTAGAAGAGTCTGCGGTTATGTAGCTAATGATGTTGCTTTAGCTCATATATCAATTATGCATCTTATGGAGAGGAGTCAGATCACCTCAGTGATGGATGAATGGATTCATGCCTTCCTGCCTAAATGGATGGATAACTTCACCCTTTAGCCACTCAGACCCAGAACCACCACTCGTCTGTCTGATTTTGAGCCTAAATATGTGTGTTTCTGCTTTTTTTTTTTCTCTCCCCTCAAGGATGACGAGCCAATCACAGGAGGGGCCGATGGCAGAGACCATACTCGCATTCGGAAGTTCCTCAGCCAGCATCACAAGAAATTACCATGGAAACCAGAGGTAGCAGAAGCCATTTTTCCTCTTTCCTTTTCTTGTATTTTTGTTTACTTTCTCCTCAGCTCGCTCGCACGCATTCCTTCATCCTCCATCCTCCTCCTCCTTTTTAAATCCTTTCTTCCATCTTTCAGGCAGGATTATTATATTAAGGTCCCCCTCAGTTGCTTTGCTGTTTGCGTGATTAATCCACTAAACCAGGCAAGGCCACTCACACACGCGCCGCAAACTTTCATCAGTGATTAATCTTTGCGAGAATTGTTTTATTAATGGCACTTCTGAGAAATAGAATTTTCACCGCAGATGTCTTACTCTCTCTCTCCTGGTCGTCCTTTTTAAGAGCGGTTGATAGTTGAGGTCAAACTTTTGGGGGTTTCTGCTATCAAACAAACTCTACCTCGCGGTTATTGTGATAAATTATTGTTGCGAGGACGATAGCGTTTAATCCGAAACCATTAGCGGGTTATATTTAAAGGCACCTTTGACTGAAGATTACAAGTTTGACGTGATTCATCCGGATTCTTTCGGCTCGCTTACAGATGTGGTTTTACACACCGGCTGCAACAAAAGGAGCAGCAGACGGGGCAATTACGCAGTGGATTAGCGATAAGGAAAGCGGGCTGTAGATTTGTAACCTGTTCGGCAGAGTTTAATTAAAGGTTTGTGCGAGTGTGTCTGTAAGCCTTAATCAGGAAAATATGATTTATTAGTCATTCCCAACCCAGGGTGAAGTTGAGCTTTTCTCTGCTGAGCACCAGAGTGTGAGGAAACTGTAAGCGTAGCTATACCTGGGAATGATAATAGATGCATTAGTTTGAATGCTTTTTGTTTGTTTTAAACAGGATTCTCCATCATTTGCTGCTTCGTGCTCAGATTTCTCGCTGCTTCCGTGAAGCATGTAATCGTTTGCACAAAGCAGCATTACGGCGTTGCAGGACACAGCGTTGGTCTGATTACGTTACAGCACTTGCGGTTTTATTTCTGCAGACTCTCCGGAGTGAGCCGGTCTCGAGTTAGTCCGCCTTTATGCCATCAGATGCAAAATCATCCATCAGGTTATGCAGTCAGATGTATTCATAGCCTCCCGTTAAAGAAGGGGGAAAAAAACTGATGAAATAAGTTGAAATTGACAAAAGTAATAATAAATACGAATTTAATGAAAATCATGACATTGCTTTTGAATTGTGGCTCAACAGAAATATATATATTTTTTAAAACAATGTCAAAAAAACACAAGCAAGCTAATGTTTTGTTTGAGCCAATCACTGCAATCAGGTGTTTTCTCTCCATCAGACTTCTGCACCTGTCGACAGGTGTTTTGATTTTGGCTCAAAGTGCTCTAATTTGTTTGTTTGTTTTTTTTTTTCAATTTTTCTTTTCACCCACAATTCAAAAGCAACGTCTCATTTCACTAAATTATATTTTAGCAAATTTTTATTTATTATTACTTTTTTCAGTTTCTAGTTATTCGAGTGACTGTTGTGAATTTTGCCTTTTCTTTAATGGAAGGGTCTGAATACATTTGAGGACGACAGTATATACATACATATCTATATAAAACACTGACACTGCATTCAGAAACCCACGTCCTTATCTTAATCCTTTCCAACACAGAAGCTAAGACGGCTACAAGGCAGCCATTGTCATATTGGCTTTGTAAGCAGTCACATGTGGATGATGTTTGTTTTTTTAATTTAATATGGCCTAGAAACATCTGTTGCCCGAATACCAAGGGGCCTGCATCTAAATGCGGACGACGCTTTTGGCATAATTTAAAACAGTTCTACTTAGAAAATGAGAAGTCACATTGATATGAAACAGCCAAGCCAGGAACACAGCCAAACAAGCTATCTGAATCTGGACCGTGTTGGCTAATTCCACAAATGTAAATGGATTTCAAGGCTCGATCACAGCGAGGCGCTTTATTACCAACGTTTAGTTTTTTCTTCCCAGTGCTTTGAGTTTTATCATTTCGCGTGTCAAAGCCGTGAAGACCAACAGTACGCTTTTGCACTCAAAGGCGTGTACATGATTTTATTGACCAAACATGTTTTCTTATTCATATTGCAGACTGGAAAAAGGGAAGCAGCCTCAGACGGGGGAATGAATTTTGCAGCATCCACACCCACTACATTTTACATTAGGCATGACTAACATCAAAGCTCACTTGTAGAAGTCAACATGGCATTTCTTTGACTGATTTCCAGCCTCCTCTTAAAGCAACGTGCCATTTAGTTTCTGTGAATATTCTGCAAATCCAGCATAATTCTATCAAATAGTTCCTGCATCTCTTTGAACTTGCATCCTTCCCCCCCAAAAAAAAAAATCCCCTCTTATCTCAGACTTCTGCTACGTCAAGCCTAAGCCAAGTTTGTCAGAAACCATGTAGCGCAGCAGCTCTTCCTCTGCTTTCCTCACTAGCTATCTGTCCTAATTACCAGCATTAAGTTGTTTCCTTGGTGCGCAGCCAAAATGGTAGAGGTCTGAGGGGCCACTGAGCTGGCACCGTCAGAGGCGTGGACTCAGACTAGCGGAGGTAGAGTGGCGCCATATGCCAGCTGTCACCGGCTGGCAGAGGTCACACGGACTTTCTGAGGCATTCTTAAGCCACATGCGCTAGAAAAACGAAATTAAAAATGAGGGGGGAAAAAAATGAAAGCATGCAGCCTGTATTTCTTTCCTAAGCCTGTGCACGTAGACAAGAGGAGAATGCATTTTGATTTACTTTAATATAAAACTACTAATGAGGATCTCCAGCCAGGGAGCTCATCCAGAGGTGACGGCGGATTAGATGTACAGCTGTACGTCTGTCAAGGACACCAGCACGTGACGGACGCCGACGTGGGACGGAGATCAGAGAGCAAGCTGGCCCACTTTTTTTTTTGGAGAGTCAAGCCAGACATGAAGGGATAAACAGTCATTTGCAGTAAAGCTGACGCGGCTCTGGAGAGAATTTGAGCACATTTAACAATTTTATTGAGTCGGGAGCAGAAAGAAAGTGATGGTAAGAGGGATTAGCGACACTTAAATCATTGTAGACTTTGATATCAGGAGAACTTTTAGGGGTTTTTTTTGTTTAATGTGTATACATTAAAGCTTCAGAGATTCACAGATTTACCTCGAATCAAATCCTAATCCATCGAAAGGTGTTAAGCCTGGTTTCAAATGGTTGAGGACAGGAGGACGATGACAGACTCCGAGTGGACTGACTGACTCGAACGTCTGGTCTTCCGGCTCTTGCCTGCGCATGAACGATGTGACTGTCTTTACGGGTGTACTTTCGGCGAGGCAGATTTGGACAGCCTATTATTTAGCACTCAGGAGAGGAGTGAGGAAGATATTGTGGCACAACACAGACACATGACTCATGCGGGAGCAGTCGTCACAGCTGTCTCCTCGCGCAAGAACACATGCAGCGACAAGACCGGAGGAGGAATTAGATCTTTGTCTCCGATTCCCTTTCCTCATGACACATTAATGTGAGGTGAGGATGCAGGAGGAGAAGCATGATGTTTGTCTCCTCTCACCTTTTTTTTTCCCTTCCTCCTTTTTCTTGTCTTTTGCAAACGCTGAACAGGCAAAGCAGGTGGCATCAATGGGATTTCTCTTACCGGCCGCTCATTAAAGTGGGATTGACAGCTTGTTGCAGGGGATGCAGAATATACCGCTCATGCCTCGTAATCCGCCTCACGTTCCTCACGTATCCATCCCCCTCATGTTACATCTTTGGCATCAGATAAGATATGTAATTGCAGGACAGATGGCAGATTATACGAACCATCATTACAGTAGTTGATGAGGCTGGAATCTAGATCTTATGAACCTTGTCTTTCATTCTTTGCTGCTGGCTCCATGTGAAATCATTATCTCTGCCCATAAAATGCTTTTTTTGCACCTTTTGAAAACCCATTTTTCCCTGACTGTACCTTATTTTCTTTGCTAAATTACCAGCGGGACGAGCAGGGAAAGGCCATCCATACGTTGGAATGAAATCGCAGCACGTGTTCAGGCGTTCGCACTTTGATTCCACTCCGGTTAAACCACAGCACGGCGTTATGAGGCGGGCGTTATCGCCGTCTCTCCCCTATATGCCCCTGGGGGGAGGAAGCGGTATTGTATATACCCCCAAGTGGTGCCTGCGCCAGGAACATCATGTCTCACTTTTCCCATCCAAAGGGGATTTGCGGTGTCAGTTGGTGCGATAGCTCGTCAGTGGGTGCACCAAGCGGCCATTTGTCAGCGCCTCGCTGCCAGCAGGAGCGCAGAAGGCTGCACCAGATTTGGAGAAAGAGGGAGATAGGCTCCTGGAGGAGAGAGAGGAAAGTCTGATTTGTACTCCTGTTGATAGTGCGACCAGATGGATGAGAGAGAGGAGATGTTGGAGGAGACGGGCTCACAGGAATGTGGAGGGAATGTGTGGTCTGACGGGAGCGGCGTTGTGTGGATCACTATACTGTACTCTCCTTTACTTAAACGTCTTTGTCAACCAGCTGTTTTCATACTCAGCATCTTTCCCTTCGCACCTGTTATTTCCCCGGTCCTGCTTCTAGTATTCAACAGATAGCGTAGCATTAATTGCTTCTTTATGGCAGTCATAGGTGCTATGTGGCTGTGAAGCTGTGGCAGCTTTCTGCTTTACTTGATCTTTAAATGTGTAGAATCTGCATTTAACACATTCATTAAACAGTCACACTGCTGGTTGGGGTGGGAAAAATGGATCTAATATCTTTTTGAACCTCCTTTTTCTTCCTATTAGTTGCAGAACTGCATGTTTACAATGGATCTACGTCGGGTTAAATCCTGGGCTCTGGCTGGGCATCTCTCTGTGTTTGTTTGAAGCCGCTCCGGAATAGATTCCCGCTTGATGTTTAGGGTCATTATCTTGCCTCATCGCCCACCTTCTACCGCGCTTCAGCCGCTAGCAAGCCTCCCTTAAATCTTCCTGTAAGACCTCTTGATAGACTTGATAGCGAGCTGTCAGGACCTACAGGCATCAGTTCACAAAG